TATATATATATATATGTATATCTTATCTCTATCTCTCTCTCAACGGAATACATCCTCTGAATCCGAAGACATATCGTTTCGTTCGAGTTCTCCACGCAACTGAACAAGCTGAGAAGCCGGAAACATAAGCTACTTGGATTTCAACGAGAAGTGTTGCGTTACTCTCGCGAAAAGCAGACGCTTCGATGACATTCTCCGCGTTCTTTGTCTTGCAATCTCTTCAAACGGATTGCTTCTAGTAGCTAAAACAAATGCATTTGAGTGAACGTTTGCTTGAGAAACGAATCTGCTTCTTTCTCTCTCTCTCTCTCTCTCTCTCTCTCTCTCTCTCTCCCTCTCATTTCTTTGTCTATAATTAACATTTCTGTAAATGTAATGATTTGACTTTTAATAGTTTATTATTGTGATATCGCTATATTTTAAGAATCTTTGAAAATTGATCGCGAGTCATCGCGAATGGAAGATCAAGAGGCTCGAGAACCCTTTGAACATTGTCTTTGTATGTCTTCGTCGTGCTCTGTCGTAGGTTTCTCTTCTTCGCTCGCTGCTTTCATAGGGGACGGCGCGGCGGCGTAACGAGAAAATAGTTGAGATATGACTTTGGGAGACCCCAAGTTTTTGCAATTCGGTTGCTGCTCGAGACGTAAAGACTACGCCTTGTTGTAACTCAGCGAGGAATTTCATCTTGGTGAAAATCAAAGAGAAACGTTCCGAGAAACTTCATTTCTACGATTTAATTATACTGTTGATAAAGTGTATTTCAAAACTAAAACGAAAATTGTTTATCTAAAGATTTTTAATTTATTTTACATTTACGTACACGTTGAGACATTCTGTGCTTAAATTTGACAATCACAACATAATATTTGTTGTCAGTAATTGTTTAATCGAAAACACTTTTAGCTTACTCAACGTAAACCGTGAGTATAATTCCATATAAATTTTTTAATTGAATTTCTTTATGTCATACGTTTGATCTTTTTTGAAATGTAGGACACTTTAATTGAAACAGGTCTACGTTTGGCGTGCACGAAAATACCTAAACTCGCAATGTTATCGTCGGATTTCTTTTAAATTTCGCGTTAATATGGGTGGAAATGAAAGCCGAGCGCTTTGACGCGACTGAGAATAAATATATCACGAACAAACAGGGAGTGGAGAAAGGCGGCCATCAACGAATGATTGGTTTCAGTGCCGTAAGCTATTAGCAAACACCTGAAGCTCGCCCCGTTGGAGTTCCTTTGCCACGAACTTTCAACGGAGAAGAAAGAGCACAGTCGGGGTTAACAAACTCATCCCTTCAGAACTCGCCCTGACCCGTCCTGCAGTTTTAAGCCTTTTTTGCCATCCACACTCGTCGTACCAAGTTGCAACGCGAAAAACCCGATTAACAGTCGACGATTGGAATCGGCTGCTTTTTGTGTTGCATTGTGGAACTTTGTGTGGTATTTTGAGCGAGCAGAATATCGACGATTCGGCTCTGCGGTTAGGGATTTCCGAACGGATTTCGCTTTGAAGCCGAAGAATTTCACGATTGTTAATTTGAATGATGTATCAACTGATTGTTCGTGCAAAACATACAAACCGATCGTTGCATTAACAAATGAAAGGAACGAAATTTTCCATGACGGAATGAGTAAAGTATTATTGTAAATATTACTACACATTTTGTATTATTTTACATTTTGATACACATATTCTATACACAAAAAAATACTTCGTATTTGAATTAAAATACACTCATATCATTGTTAAAATTGTGGCTTAAATTTATAATATATCCGAAATAATGTATGTAATTCTTATTTGAGCATTTTGTATTAAATTAATATTCAAATTTCTTATTGTTAATACAAAACAACAATTGTTGTCAAAACAACATAATTTATATATTTATAAGTACCTAAACAAATAATATAAGATAATGTATTTCAAAATATAAATTATAGAATGAATAAACAAAATACTTGTTAATTTAATATACTATAAATATTATATATTAATTTTATTTAAAAAATATGTTAAATATATTACAAATTGTGTTGGTATTACATTTTTTATGTTAATTTTCTTACATAATATTTATATTACATCCTAACATATTCATCTTGTATTGATACTTTCCAATTATGTGCTTCAGAATACAGCTTAAGAAATGCGATTTTCGAATTATTACCGCGAATGAGTTAAATAAACATTATCAATTTTCAAAAGTAAACTTATTTTTATAAATAATCATCAAAATTGTTAAAATTCAAAAAGGATGGTTTAAAAAAAAAGTCGTTGAAACTGTCATATCAAAAAAGGTGATTTTTTTAAAAAGTGAAATAAAAATGCCAAAAATGAATTTTGATCATACTAAGAATATATTCTTTTTACTGATTAATAGATATTATTTGATTAATAAATAATTTTCTATCAAGCTGAAAAATAGTTTCCTCTTTTTTTTGAACGATTAAAATTTTTTAATTGAATCACTTTTGAAATAAGGGAGTAATAAATAAAACTTATTTTTTATTTTATTTAAGTATATTATGTAGCAGTATATTTAAACTTACATAATAATATATTTAAACACAATAAAACTTGATTGTCAATTGAAGCTTTCGTTATTTCGCGCTGGCAAGATATTGTTTATGGAGGATCAACATGGGAATAAAGATTCTTTGGCAGTATCCTTCCATAAATTTTTTCATTCTGCTCCTCTTATAACGCACGTAAAGGCTTTCTCGGAAGGTTTTATGTAGCCACCAGAGTATCGTTTTCTTAGAATAAAGTAATCAGTGAGGCGAGCGGTTGGAGAGAGATGAGGACGCGGGTTGAAAAAATTGATGAGAGACTGTTGCATGAATTTTACGCCACACCAGCAGATCGTTACTTTGAAAAACAGCATCTAAAAGAAAACTGAAAAAGTCCTTCTCAATGTCTATTAAGTATCTTTAATGAGACAACGATCTTGGTACACCACAATAAGTTTTATTTTATTATTATTCCTTTCCATTTTTATGTTTTTATTTTTATCATTATCCTTTACCACTGTAGTATTTCCATTGTCGATAAAGTTATTCATATCCACACAGTAAAAAATTTTGTGTTAAATTTAATACATTCCACATGTCCCAAAACAGTCCATCTAAATTTTTGTTAATTTAATAAGATGAATATATTCGAAAGTAACACAAATATTATACAAGAAATTAACACAAGAAGCGTGATACTTTGACACAATTTAAAAACAAATTTTATGTTAAATTGACATATTCATGATGTTAAATTTAACTGAAATTAGAAGCTATTTTTATATTTTTAGTTTAGGCGATGCCTCTGTGATATTCAACATATGCAATTTGTAGATTTAACTATTTACTATTATAAAATGAAAATAAGACAGAATATCTGTACTTTTTTACAAAATATATGTAAGTTGTACAGAACATATTTCTTCAGTAAAAGTAACATTTATAATATATTAAATCAACACACATTTTATTCATTTAGTCTTAGAATTTAAAACTACATTTTTTTATGTTATTTATTTACTTACCTAATAAATTGTATTACTTTAACAATAAAAAATGTTAAATATCAATTTAAAATAACGTAATGATATTATGTTAAATTAACATTTGGATATATATATTAAGAACACAAAAATTTTAATAAGGATCGTTTTAATGAAAGTGCAAAATGTTTTTTTTTTTATTATGCATCGAGATCTCTTATGCTCTTCGTAAAAAGTAATAAAATTCATATTAGAAAACATTCGGGCAGTAAGTACTGTTTTATGTATATGTGCATAACTTCACTTAACGAACGAATTTCGATCGCTCTGCCTGTAAATTACGCAATTTCTAGGCATAGATCAGATTTTCATTCCATTTGAGACCTCATAGGGAACTCGCTTTTGCGTAATACGCTAGGAATTTTCGAGGTAGGACTCCCGAAGGGAGCTCTACCAGAGAGTTCATGCATTCGTCCACTACGAACGACGTCTCGGTTTCAGATTTGAATTTCTGTATTCGTCGCGACGAGTTCATTTCGCTTCAAACCGGATAAGCTTGGCAGAAGCTGCCCGGTAATGGGATCATTGAGCGGAAAGAATCGATTTCCTTATGAAAGAGCACGACGTGACCGAGATTTTATATGTAGAGTTAATCACATTACGTGTTTCGATCAGCTTGAAATCCCGTTTTGTACATTCTGTCTCGCCAGTTAACGCATAATTTATCGCATTGTCGCGCCGCAATCCGATTTGCGTGAGTTCCCAGCAATTATCGATATGTCATTAAGCTATCCGTTTCCAATTACGTATTTTGATGATTTCTAATTTGCGCTGACCGAACGCTCGGGTATAATATGAATTCTCTTTTTATTTATTACTTTAGCGAATTCGGTTGGATGCACTATTGTGTATATTGATGGATTAAGTGCATATCGTTATACAGTATTTTAATCTGTGTAAAAGTAAAATGCAAATAGTTTAAATTATAAAATATAAATTTTACTTAACAGCGCATAAAGATATAAAAGATTTCAAAGTTTAATCTATATTTTTATATTTATATTAAATATATATTTTTATATGAATTTGAATTTGACAGTTTTAATGCACACCAGTGCGCACTGAGTGCATCCAACCAAATTCACTATTAATTTGATGTTATCGCGGGGTACCGATTAATTTAATTAATTTCGCTATTGTTGGAAAATTCCGCTATTCTCGGATTTTAAGAACTTTAATTATTCAGAATTTTTAAAGTTTCATAGATTTATTTAAATTCCAATATATTTCGCATCAAAATTTTTACTAGAATGTGTCAATAAATAAATCCCATTAACGAGTCTTATTGTTTGTGACAGAATGCGCGGCCAAGAACGGAAGATCTGTAGTGGAGCACCATCCGTCCTCTTACTGGGAACAACCCTTTAGTCAGCCTTACTTCGACAACACGACAAAGAGGGAGACCACAACCACCGTCGGGCAATCCGCTTACCTGCACTGCAGGGTGCGCAATCTTGGCGATCGTGCGGTAAGTCCCAAGTTTCCTTATCAAGAACCCAGTCATTGTAATAACACTCTCGTGTTTGAGAATGTTGTATTTCGCGAGTATAGATTAAGATCATGCGCGAGTCCGTTAAATATCGCGATTCTGATTTCGAAGATTATTCTCGTTTTATACATAAAAAAAATTTTGTGCTAAAAACATCTAAAATAAAGCTAAATACAGAAAAAATAATTTTATTGGACCATTAAAATTATATAATTATCTCAATAGAAATATTAAAGATTATATTCTCAACTATTATGTATAGGATTATATTTTAAAACATGATGAGTTGTAAAAGCTTTCACTCTAGCAACTAGCCTTCTACACAATTATTTTGATGGTCCAATATTTATGTTTAGAACGTACTTATCTAGAATTCTTAGATACTTCACATTGAGAGAAAAAATTTTGTTAATTTAGCAAGCCAGTACTTTTAACCGGTGATCGGTAAATATGTGACAACAAATTTTGTTGTTGTGATTGCTGCTAGTCTGCTATATCAACCAATTATTAGTAACAGAAGCAAACTATATATAGAACCTATCTTTTGGATAGACTTTAGGTTCGTTTACATAGAATTCGTAGATGACCGTGGAGTCTTAATTCGTAGGAAATCGACCAAGCACAGTCAAATATAAAGAGAATACTTGACTAGAATTGGTCAATTTCTTGTGATTTGAGATCCTGCAATCGTCTACGACTTTTATATGTGTGTGTGTGTGTGTGTGTGTGTGTGTGTGTGTGTGTGTGTGTGTGTGTGTGTGTGTGTAAGCCTCTTATTTGCTAGCGATACTATTGATTATTTGTTACATTGACAAATTAATTTGCAATCGTAACAAATCAATCATTTTTTTTAAACAAATATCACATTTGCTTTCTCTTGATTTATTTCTATAACAAAATCATTTCTGTCAGTGCAGAGATATGTCCGAGAATTCAGGTTGTATTATTTTATTCTTACTATTTCACCAATATTAAACAAAGATAAAATGATACTTGAATGCATCCGAATGAAGTTTCTAAATGCAATAAAATCATTCTTTCGCATAGAGACATTTATATTTCGTATCATTCAATACTGCATTTATCAATTGCAAATGAGTCTCTCAGAAGTATTTTTATATCATGTATTTTAAATCTTTCCTCACTTTGAGAATTTTTGTTTGTGTCTGTTTATTTTTTTTTTTTGTTTTTATAGCGAAGAAAAAATTACTATTTTTTTGATTTTCTAAAAATTATTTAAGGATTCGCTTTAGTTAACGTACCGTCGTTGCAACGATATACGTCAATATTACTCATTTCTTCAGTAATCCAAACCAAGCACGATTTTAACGAACTTACCCATCGGGAAGATTAAAGACAGAACGTACAAGACGAGAATAGATACAGAATGCGAAAAATATTGCGGGATTATTTCGCTGGAACCTGCGATAGTCAATAATCTCGCAGCATTGTCGCTCGTATTTTTCGAAGAAAAAAATCAATTAACCGATTAATCTTCTTATTATGTGAATTATGCAAAGCTCGATGGACGTTTTAACGTTCGATTATGCGTCAACAAATTTTCGCGATTAAATTTTGTTATTACGTGGAGATTCAATGGAGAGAGAGAGAGAGAGAGAGAGAGAGAGAGAGAGAGAGAGAGAGAGAGAGAGAGGGAGAGAGAGAGAGAGAGAGAGAGAGAGAGAGAGAGAGAGCGAAATCGCGAAATTTGTCACTGCAAAATTAAGTCGCGTACACTCGCGTTTAATTATCGCAAAATTTCCAATTATGTTATTATTTCTTGCGAAGCGTATTTTTCAAATTCTATTCTGCCCTTTCGCGTGAACACTCCGCCTGGCATTGATAAATTTTGCGTACGTGGAAATCTCAACGATCGGAATCACGCAATTCGAAGTCAAATAAATTCGCAGTTACAGCGTCGGCAAGGCATTAATCCACGATCGTTTCCTCGACAAACTTTGCCGGCTCTCTTTGCTAATGCACTCGCGCGACCTGCAATTCGTATACGAGTTCATTCCTCATTTACCCACGCGACATCGTACGTTTATATATACGAGTATATAGAGTAACCTAGTTCACATCTTCGCGCGCCAAAGCTTTTGTAACTCTTTTCCATGTTTTTTCTTTCTTCTTATTTCTGCCTGTGAACTTGCGGGGCAAGTATAATTCTTCACGGTTCAACGTACATATACTTTTTCTTGCGTAAATTTAGAAAATTACGATGGTATATTAATGATCTCATTAACATCGAAATACTTCCAATTATGATTCACATTGTGAAACATTATTTTTAGCGAAAAATCAGAAAGTTGAATATTTAACTGATATTTGTTAAATAGTTATACAATCTAATTGTGCTGTAGAAAATTAACTCTTTGTGTATAGAAATCTCTTTGATGTTATACTATTGAGAAAACAAAAACATATATTTTTACAAAAAAAATAAATTATATTTCTTTGCAGATTTTCTTTTTCACTTTACTTTCTTTTTTTTTTTTTTAATAAATTACTTTTATATTCCGCTGTCTGCTTAATTCACATTCTGTTATTGTTTGGTCATATGAAGTGATTAAAGTGATGTTATAAAAGATTCCATGTTATAAAAGGAGCATTGTGTGTACTAAACACATAGTCGCGACGTCAATTTTTGGGACGGTTTAGTGGATTAGCGGGCCGCTCGAGCCGCTGTTTAACCCGGTATTCATCACTCGCGGTCCTAATGCAAAGTAATTTCGCGGGTAGGCGCATAGGTCATCCGGGCGCACGGTGACATTACGCGTTATCGGCCGTTGCTCATGCATCACCGCATGACGCACCAGGAACCCGTCAGAGTCCAATCACCGATCGTAATCGCCGATAAATCAAATTTCTCTCGCACCCTATCCCCTTGCCTCTGCGGATCACCCCTGCTTTTAGCTCCCTGCTTCCGCCATTCACAGCCACACCATCGGCCCTCAATAACGCGCCGCACGCACATCTGAACGTTTATGTTTGCGATCGTAGAATCAGCACGACCGTCGCGATTGCGCTTCGCCTAAGCCTTGATTTTGCACCGGTGACAGATCGTCGCGCGACAGTCGGGTGTCAATCAGAGATTTTTCTTTTTTGCGCATACGTAATTTGATCGCATTCGCGTGTACGTGATGCCATTCGAAAATTAATCCGAAAAAAATTTCGACGTCAATATTTTAGGCTTTAATCTTTCAAAGCTCAATTACAAATCTTTTTGTTAAAAATATCAAACAATTTAATTTTCTTTATATTACATCATACAGCAAAAGAGGATGTGAAAAAGGTCATTTTTTTGTTTAGATACAGAATATAAATTAATCATTATAAAATCTTCGTGGGATCCTCTAAAAACAGAAAGTATCAATTATTTATTTATCAAATTCTAAAAAAGTTATAAAAATCAAGATTTATTATAAATTATTGAAATGAATTTTTAAGCTATATAAAATAAAACTCTTTAAGATAAAATTAATTACATATTTATGTGCTGAAAGATAATAAATATAGAGAATATTTTTTGATTTATCATGATATATCCCATTTTAAATGCTCTATTTAAATATTAGACAAATATTCAAAAAATATAAAAAATGTAGAAAATGTTACAACTTTTTTGTTATTAAAACTTATATGGTTTAAAAAAGTTATATGGAAAAATAATATGATAAACTTATTCTATTTTCTAGTGGAACTATTCATTTTTTGATAATTTCGCTTTAATACTTTTATATGCAGAATAATGAGAAGAACATATGTTAAAACTTATATAATTCCATTTAAAAAAACTGGCGTTAACTTAATATGACTTTTAAAATTAATTTTTTAAAATCAATTTTTTAAAGTCCCTTATTAAGCCATTTTTTTAAATGAAATTATATAATTTTTAATATAATATATTTTTCTAATTATTCTGCATATAAAAATATTACAGCAAAATTATTAAAAAAATGAATGGCATATGAGATATTTTACACTTTATTCTAACACATTTTTTATATGAAATATAAAATATTTCATAAACTATTGATTTTGATAATTCTATTTTAATTAGGGATGCACTGAATAAAATTGTCAGATACGGGATATCGGATATCTGGTCAGATATTCGATAGAGCAATTATCCGATCGGATACTAGATATTTCCCCGGATATCCGGTCTGATATCTGAAACAAGGCTTACAAAAAAAAGGAAAGCAAGAGAAAAATAGCGATAACAATTTTTTTTATCTTCCCAATGTGGAAAAAAAAAGGAAAGGAATGAACTGTGCAAGTTCAACTGAAAAGGATAAAATTCTGCATTTTAATAACGTAAACTTTCAATATAAAATTTCAGCTGGATTTATTACCGGATACTAATAATATCCGGCTCTTCGACTAGATATCATTAAAAATTAGTAAAAAAATACCGGTTAATACCGAATAACTGATATTTCCCTAATATCCGGTGCATCCTTTATTTTAATTAGGTACAAAATAATTAGGAAATCATTTTATATTAAAATATTGATAATATATATAATATATATAATATATAAAATTTCATTTTAAGAAATGACGGTCATTTCTTGATACGACTTTGAAAATTTCATTTTTCTTAAATTAATTTTATCATTTTATTTGTTCTCTTTCAAATTGTACAACTTCCATCGGAACTTTTCATATCTTCCATATGTTTCAAAATATTTGCCTGTGGTATTCAAACAAGACAATCTGTACATTATATGAACAAAAAATTATATTCTCTACAATTATTCGTCTTTCAAGACATAAATATGCAATTAATTTTATTTCAAGAGTTTAAAGCTTAAAAAACACTAATATATCTATTTCAATAATAAACAATAAATCCTGATTTTCATAACTTTCCCTGGATCTGGTGATCTAATAATGATTATTTTCTGTTTTTAATTTTAAAAAATCCCACGAACACTTTCTAATTTACAACAATAATAAGTGTGTAATACAAATAATATAAATAATATGTGTGCAAACATACCTTTAATTCTTAATTTTATATTTATGCACAATAATGCATCACATTAATGATTTGCGATCGCGTCTCTTGATCAATTTTAAAGAAACTGCTAGTTAGTAGTTTTTTCTGACTGATTAAGAAACGTAAACGCAGATGCAATCTATAATCGTTAGTGTGGGTATAAGGCAATCTATTTGCAATAATCTTTGTGCGCAAACGAATGCGACAAATGTGATATAAGTATACTGTAATAGTAATAAGTATACTGTAAGTAATCAATTTGTAGACAAACGAAATCTTCTCTTTTTTACACGCACATTCTTTTTTGAATTATTTTTATTAGAATGTACTTATTGTATTATTAGTATTTAGTCTTTTTTACGAGTTATATCTACGAGTTGTATTTGTAAGACAGTGTTGTATAGTAAGTGTTGTAAGACAAGAAAAAACCGGGAAATAATGAAAAAATATTCTTTCCCACGTATATTTGAGAGAACTTTTAATGGACAAGAATATTCTTCTTTACCTAAAATTATACTTTCAATTATTATATATTAAGAGCTAGTTAAAATCTTTTAAATGTTATAGTATCCCTAATACAAATAATGTGTTATGTACTATCGTTAGAATTAACCTAATCGAGTGATTCTGCAGTTGGCAATGTATGTCATTGCAGATAATATTAATGTAGCTACATTTTTTCCTATATTTATGTAATATTATTATTTAAAAATATACTCCATTTTATTTTGATAATTATAAATGGAGATTTTTAAAAAGAAGTTAAATTAGAGTAAAAAGAAATGAAAAAAAAAAATTGAAAAACAATTGTTCTAAGGGACAGATTCATTTCTAGAAAAAAATCTGGAAAAAATTAGATTTCTTCCTGGACGAAATTTAAATTTTTCAGGAAAATAACAGCATTATGTCATTTTAGTTCTTTGAAATTAATTGGTGTTAATTAATAGATATAAATTAAATGAGTCTTACAGATCTAATGTCAGTAATTGTATTACAAATTTTGGCTTCGGAGAATTAAAAATCGTAGTATCTTTTAGGAAATATAATTTTGCGACTTTTCTCACTTTACTTTTTACATTGTGATATTTTCGAGAATGTGCGAAATGCATTAGAAGTCATGACACAAAATTTATGCGGCATAACGAGTCGAATTTTTCGATTGAATGTTCAATTTGATGTATTTTGTTGTTATAATAGCGGGTCTCTTGTTTGCGCAGGTCTCATGGATCAGGCAGCGAGATTTGCATATCCTCACTGTCGGCATCCTAACATACACGAACGATCAACGTTTTCAATCGTTGCACAGCGATGGCAGCGATGAGTGGACCCTGAAAATCAGTTCACCGCAAGTGCGAGATAGCGGAATCTATGAATGCCAGGTCTCGACGGAGCCCAAAATTAGTCAAGCTTTCAATTTGAGTGTAGTAGGTACGTATGCATATCTCTCTTTTTATTTATGACAAATAAAATTCAATCGATATACAAACAAATTCTGAGTTCAAGATTTTGATTAAATAATCTCAAGCATTAGAAGGAAATAAAAAATTATAGAAGTAAATTATAATCGAATAATTGGAATTATAATCAAAAGTAAATTATGATGGAATAATTTAAAAATAGTAATAAATTTTATAAGTGAAAAGATGATAGATTTAGATTTGCGATTTTCATTAATTGAAATAAACAAAAATCAGCATAAGAATGAACATTTAAGGATTGTGTTTTAAGCGCGCGTGATTACAAATTCCCAGCTGTGTTCAATAACACACTTTCTAAAAGCCGTTTGTTTCTTAAGTGAATTTTTAAATGGATAGTTTCGAACGGTTCGACATGAGTTAATTGCAGCTTTGCGGCGGTTTAAACGAAATTGCGATCATACTTCTTAGTCCAGGCTTTACTCGACTACCCGCTTGCGCTCTATGGCTAAAAACCACTTTAACTTTGTTCCGTCCTCATGTGCAGTCTCGAAGGCAAAGATCAACGGCAATTCGGAGCTCTACATCAAAAGCGGAAGCGACATCAATCTGACCTGTATCGTACTGCAAACGCCGGAACCACCATCCTTCATCTATTGGTGAGTTTCAGCGTTCTCCCTTGACGATAGTGCGGATTGAATTTGTTCCACATGTATTTCGATACAGCCGAATGTTTTCGCGAAATCCAAATCTACAGTGACCTCCATTCAGTAGAATCTGTTTTACTGAAAAATTTCAATGCCCGTAAAACGAATCTCCAATGAAGTGAATCTCCGTTGAAGTTAATTCCTGGAGACGATGATCTTTAAAATTTATAAATCTTACATGATCCTTAATTGTTTGTGATCTTAATGATTTTTAAAATTTATAGATTACTAATATGCTAATTTGGAAATTCTCTTGTGTTTTTACATTCGCATATAAATACTTACATTCGCACATATAATTTATTCGTATATTTTATTTAATAATTTAATAAAGATATTTAACAATTGTTTAATAGATTTTATTTTACAATTGCTCTCTGTTTATTAATATTTTTCAGATTCTCGATAACACTGAATAAGAAATAAAAAAATTCTTTTATTAACATAAATTACCTTTTTTGGGGAACATAGAATAAAGTAGGTTTTAAGTATAAATGATGTTGTTTTTGCTTACTGAGTACAAAAATAAATAAAAACTTTAGCACGTATAACTTTTTTCTTACTTTTTTTTCATTTTTATCATGACGTCATTTTTAATCCTTTCATTAATGTACAATTTGTCATCCTTTTTATTCTTATCATGGATGCGGTTCACTTGACGCTACAAATGCTTCGAAACTTTTGATTGATTAATCGGAAGGAAGAATTTTAATTGACCAATCAAAAAATGCTTCAAAGCATTCATAGCATCAAGTGAACCGTCTATATTTCACAAGATTTCAAAAAATGTAAACATGGAAACAGGATTAAGTATGTGTAAAATTCTTTATTGTTCAAGAGTACATTTTTAAGATATTATAGCGAAATTATAACAAATATAACAAAATATATAAATTGTTACTATTTAAAATTTGATATAAAATTATGTTATTTAAACGAATATCTATGCATTAACAGAAAGCATTAAATACAAATATCTGCTGTATTTTCTATATTTGCTTTATTTTTTATTTTTTATTATGTTACTACAATATTTATTAGAATATTATTTTTAGAAATAGCAGCTTTATTTTCCATGTATAACAACATATACAGCACATATAAATTCAATTATTATTTTTATTTCCAATTTGACAACCGAAATATAAACTACAATAATATAACGAACAAGGTCATAAATTAAAACAAACAAAATAATGTTATTGAAATTTATAATTTATTAACATAAACGGATCTGACATCGAAAACCGGACATTTCGGGTACCTTTCGTGATATAAGAAATGTTTTAAATACAATAATAATACAATATTATAATAAATATCAAAAATAATACTACAATACATATTATTAATAAGAAATTAAACACTATTGAAATATTAATATAATATTTGTGTGTATATGCATGCGTGCGTGCGTGCGTGCGTGTATAAAACTTCCTTCTCTCCCTATTAACTCATAATATGAATCAAGAGACACCTCGAAGCTAAACAGATACGTAATTTAAATAGAAAAGAAGATAATATTATGGCACGCTATTCAGGTTTTTTACAATTACTTTTGTTAATAATTAATATTTAAATTTAAAATTTAATCCATTATGTTCGTTAAAATGTTTAATAGATTCTAGACTAAAGTTACAAAAATATATTACTTATGAATCTATTTATAAAAAAGTGGCAGGTATAATGATTTGAAGAGAAACAGAGGTAATAATGTGGTCTTCCACAAAAATTTAAAAAATTGATTTTGCTTAAAAAACACTGCTTAAAAACACATTTTTTATTAAATTAATAAAAAATAAAATATAAAGGTTAAATAATAATAATTAATAAATAATAAAATATATATACGTACACATAACTTCTTTCGCATACAGGCTGTTTACTACCAAAAATCTAGTACATAAACTGATTAATAATAGAGCTACAATCAATTGGAAATATTCATGGAATAATTATTGTATTTTGATTTTATTTTAAATTATTGTATAAAAATCTCGAAAAGAACTTGTCAGAAGTAAGCATGCTTAGCGAGCTATTAGCAAAATGTCATGCTATTATTTAACTTTGCATAACTTGAAATTTTGTACAGCCAAATAAAATGTTAAATAACAAATAATGCACTTAAATATACACATATGCATGATAATAGTATATTTAAGAAGAATGAGGAATTATGTATAATTAAAATGTAAAAATATTAAAAACGTTTCGTAATGTTTGAAAGTAAAAATTCGTTATAATAAATGCTATTGTGTAGTAAAATATTAGCGTTAGCATCATGGTGTAACAGCGAACTATTAAATAAATAATTCCATAAGTAAACAAGAGGAGGAATTCACTTAAATAACCTAAACAGAGATATTAAGAGCCATTATATCTACATTACTACTTCTTTTCTAAATAAGAAAATAAAAATTACAAATCCTTTATGTCATATAAATATGATTAGAATATAAATTAAGCGGTCGCTAAGTTAATAAAATAACAAAGATATAAACTTTTAAGTCGTAAGCTTTCGTTTTTGCAAATGATCTATTTTGTGATTTCATGTAACGAAACGAATACATAACAAAATTGATTTGGTGCATTTGTACAATAATTTACGGGAAGAGATATTTAGACATTTAGATTTTCAAAAACAAGTGCTTTCGTTTACATTAAAAAAAGCTTGGTATAATTTTAAATATCAGACATGAAAATTCAAAATCAACAGAGAAACACAAAATGTAGATAGGTTTTACCAATGTTATCGAAATCGTGTTGACCAGGGTAATTTTTCAGGTACAAAGGCGATAACGTGATAAACTACAGCCAACGCGGGGGCATTAGTGTTGTGACAGAAAAGCAAACGCGAACGTCACGTCTTCTGATCAGCAGAGCGCTGCCAGCCGATTCCGGCAATTACACCTGTGCGCCATCCACAGCCGAGTCAGCTAGCGTTCTTGTCCACGTGCTCAATGGTGGGTGAGTCGCGAGTGAAATCATACATCACCGAAAATCTTCAATATTATCTGCCGAAATGTCGCAATATGTCTTCGTATATCTTTCTCACGATAATATCGACAAAATATTGACTTTCCACGCGGTAGTCTTTTTGATGGTTTCGACATTCTCGACATTTTAAATAAAATTTCAAACACATGTAAATATGTCAGCGCGGATAAAAATGTGCTGTATACGTTAAAATTGCCCGAGAGAGATACATTCAAATACAAAGCGATATCTACCTTTGTCAACGTGTCGCTACAAAAAGGTTTTTATATTGTTCGCTCACCGCGTGGATTTTCGGCAAATTGTATCTTTTTCGGAATCAAACGCTTTGAACATATAAATCTGCGGAAAGATCGTAAATTGTTGCCATCACAATTGCTTTTTTAATTAATGAATATAATTTTATAATTTATTTTAATTTACTTGCAACTCCGTTGCATATACATTGAGATACGAAAGAGTAGAATATAGTTAAATACGCTATTTACTATTAAATTTTACGAAGCTTCTCGTAAACTTTGCCCGAAATGCAAAAGCATAAAATCAATTAATTAATTTCAACAAGTTTCTATTAGTTTTAATCAAGTTTCCGACGAAATGTTTCATTTCAAGTATTACTATAAAGGAAGTTCTAGTCCGTTTGAGGGATATTAAAGAGAAACAATTTCAATTCAATTGCATTTATATAAACAATGTGCGATCGCAGAAAATAGTTTTCCGCATATATATATTTATATGCATACACAGCGAAAAAGTTTAAAACGTTTGATCCTGACGTTTGCAGAATTGGCAAAATAAGGTAAAATTTTCTGCAGTTCCAAATAAGAAAAAGCAACAGAATCTCCAGAAGAAAAATTAAATCGCTCGAGTGCGCGCCATTGATTTTCTTTTAACTCGCTCGATTGCAGCATACAGATTTATTTTTGCTTTACGTATTTTAAAAGTCTTGAATATTTTTTTAGAACAATTTCTAAATCGCGCGTATAATACAAATCATATTGAAAATTTAAAGAGAATACAATTTTTATATTATCTTCAACACGTGGGTTCGACAACAATATTTGCGTTATATAATCGGCATTTAATAATCGTTCAAAGCTGACATCAAAATCTATAACACAATTATTAACACTGAGTCTCACTCATTTAATTTATATTTAAAAGATACTAATTAATTTCAAAGTATCAAAATGATATAACCTATTCAAAAATAGAATGAATTCTAATGCTCGTTTCCAATAGTAGATTATCTTTAATCTCGGTTTAACTCCTAAGAAAAAATTAGAAAAATCTGAAAAATAAAATTAACATCTACATTAGTGGAAATGAACAAAAACATTTAAAGAAAATTGAATTGATATTGTTGACAAAGAGATTTATTGAGTTTAGCAGCCTCATCGTTAACTCTGCAGAATTAATAGCCATAATTTTAATGATTTAAAACAATTTGATGATGTTAATTGCATACCTATTTTCTACAGTTGTAAGGACACTAATTATTACACGTTCTCGTAAGCAAAATTAATCTCACGTTTGCCGTTATTCGTAAGAGATTTACAA